ATTCATGTCAATATACTAGATAATATTGACACCAATAAAGGAGTCAAGGAATTTCTCACTTTGATTTCTCAGCACTTAAACTACAATTTGGGAATTATATGCCTATCAATAGATGACATAAAGGAACTCAATAGCCCACCCAGCACACTTATGTTTCAAGAGTCACAAATATCATGCATAATACATCAAGCTGTGGAAATACAGTCTCAATCATCTGAAGTTCCTATTAAGTTCATCATAGCATGCTCTGACAAGGATACAAAAGGTCATCGTGATGAAGCCAAAAGGCTCCTTCTTAAAGCAATTAATAAGGAAACTGCTAGGCTGAGTGAACCACTTCAAGTATCTGTATTAGTTCTTGATCCATCTTCATCTGATGACATGAAGAAACTGAACATTGCATTAGATATGAATTTACCTCTAGCAAGAAGATATATCAAACTGTCCTGGTTGTTTTTGCGTGATGCACTAAATGATATAGATGAAATAGTCATTCCTTACAACAAATTAAAGGAGATTGCAGGCAAATTAAATATTCAAGAAATGGAATTGAAAGAGTTTTTGGAAACTTTTACCAAATTTATGAGCATCCTTTATCTACCAGGAATCAAATCACTTGAAAATGTTGTTATTCTTCGTCCAGTAGAATTCATTAACACAATGTCGTCTCTCTTTAAAACACCAGATGACAGAGATTTTGATGGTGTTTATACCATGGATCAGCTAAATAAAATGATTCCCAACAAAAAACTAGCAGATACAGTCACAAAAGCTCTTTGTTCAGTTGGTTTAGCAATAAAAACTACAATCGACAAAGTAAACATACGGACATCAGAATTAAAAAATCCCAAGGCTCCTTTGCTTTTTGTGCCTTTAGCAAGAAGTGGTCAAGTATTAGAAAAATGTCATGTGACTTCACTATTTATAGTTTTTAACTCAAAAGTGATTCAGCCTGACTGCCAGTCATTTTTTATATCCGAGTTACTCAAACTAGCAGGATCTTCTCTACAATCTGGATCAGATTATCACTATCATTTAAATGTTTTCAAAATATTATTAGTAATTTTACGCCAAGACTATTACTTCTCCATTATATTTCGAGGTACAAGCATTGATGTTGTAATGGAAAACTATGGAGATTCCAATGATGTTTTTAAAACGATTATAATATGTTGTAAAGAAGCACTATCAAAAATGAGTAGTATTCGCAAAAACTTTTCTTACAAGTTAGCATTGTCATGTCTCACACCAAGACCAACATTTCATGCAGCTGATGATTATATTGATCCAGCAAAAAGAATTTTTGATTATTTACTTCCAAACACTAAGCTGTGCTATCATTGTGAACGATCAGATAGTCCACTGAGAAAGAAATGGAAAGATGCTATTCAAAAGGTGAGATAGAAATTAATATTATTTTGATATAATAATTATTATTCTATAGATACATGAAAATGAAGAAAAAAGAAAAGGTGGGTAATAATTTTAATGATGAGTTATGCATTTCTATTTTTAGAACGAGTAAATGTTGAGAAACTGATAGAACTGGCTCAGAGCTTAGGCTCAGTCATTAAATCAACCCAGACTCTGAAGAACTTGGCAGCTCAATTACGAGTTAGAGTTGAGCAAGAGTATATTGTAGTTTTATCAAAATCATGTTTACCATGGCAACGAGTTCTTATGATCCTTTTAATGTGGGAGAAGAAAGAAGAGGCAACAAAAGAAACACTTAAAGATGTTTTAATACGTTTGGGATATCCAACTGTACTTTTAGATTAAAAATTAATTTTATCTCTGAATGTTGATGCATTGTCTATGCTTTAAAACTGCTACATGTATTTTAAATTAAAATTTGCCGCATAATAAATAATAAGTGAATATTAATCATCCAATTGGCAGAGTATAGCTACTCCTCTATTGATCCAGTGGCTCTCTGGTTTATCAGAAGGCAGTTGCATGGTAAGTACATAATTAGTAGAGTGTCCAGTGGTAGAG